GGGGGAAAAAAAAAAACAACCAACCAAACAAAAAGGGAGGAAAAAAAAAAAAAAAAAAAAAGACTGACCAGCAAGGCAGTGATAAGAAGCAAACGAGATGCATTTGGCTCCCAACACAAACACAAACACAAACAGCAAGAGTCACACACAAATAATAAAGAAGATACCCCCCTGAGACACGCATATTCCCACCTACGCACAGAGAGGGCTATAAAAAGATGCAAACATTCACTTTTCTTCTCGTCTACACACAAAAAAAAAAAAAAAAAAGAAAAGTAATAATAATAACAATAAACATCAAAAACAACAACAAAAAAATATAAAAACCCGTCTCCTCTCCCTCCAAAAATTGGCAAAAAAAAAAAAAATAGAAATTAAACAACAAGAAAGCGCGTGCGTCTGGGTTGGCGCTAAAGGCATTAAGTCCAATAAAAAACAACAACAAAAAAGAAGACAAATAAATGTGTTGGATGTGGTGGAATGAGCAAATATTGGGGGATCATATGCCACCTATTCTCCAAATAACCCCGTCAGTCGCGAAAACTCTGCTGTTATTTCGTAGGATGTGAGTGCGGCTGCTGCATCACGAATGTTATCGCCCTGACGGACAGCATCCATGCTATTCATGGAGCCGTGGCTGCCACGCCCTTGTCGCAAGCAGACCGCACCCTCTAGACGCCGCCGCGGGATCCACACTGAGGACGCATCTTTATTTGTCACGCTGCTTCTTTTTTCTGTTTGCACGACGCTCTTATTTTCAAACTTCCACCTGCAATTTGGCTCGCAGGTGATAGCCTGGTGACTCTCGGCCCCGGCGGCCTGACTCGAAGGTGACGTGCAGTGATTGGGTTGACTCGAACGCATTTCCGCCGCCACCGCGGGACCACCCAACTCCAGCAACGGCTGTAATAATTCCTGCTGCGGCATATCTCCGAATTCACCGCCCAACACCATTCCATGATTTGACTCATCTTCCTCGGAAACACGCAGTGGTTTCTCTCCAGTGACGGCAGTACCCAAATTGCAATTTGCCAACTGCATCTGCATCAGCGGAGAGTTCATCCGCGGGCTCCATTCTAACGACGATGGGGAAAACAATGGGAAAGACTGCGAACACACGATGGGCGCTTGTCCCAAAATAAAAGGATGCTTCAACAGTTCCTCCACTGAGAGACGCTGTTTACAGTCCAGGTGAAGGGCGCACTCCAAAAAATTAAGCAGCGTTGGACTGGCCCCACATTTGCGCAGACAGTCTAGGCTTGGTCCTTTCGTGGCTCCACCAATTCTCCACACGACAATGTGTGGCGACAAGTCATGAAGTTCCTCCCATGGCGGGACGCCCATAGCCATTTCATATACCATGCACCCCAATGCCCAAACATCTGAGGCAAAAGTGGACTCCTGTGTACAAATGAGCTCCGGGCTCATATATATTGGGGTCCCACAAAGCTTCTTCTCAGCACCCTGCGTGGGACAACCAGAGCCTCTACCCGGAAGCACATCTGAATCAGAATCTGCAACGTAAATAGTTTGAACAAACCTGCTTGTACCAAAGTCACTAATTTTAAGGTTGCCCTTCTCCGTCATCAGCACATTGGCAGTCTTCAGATCACCATGAACCACACCGCGGGATTGAAGATACTCCATGCCTTGCAACACCTGTAACGTATAAAGACGTATGACATTTTCGTTAAAGGCCCCAAAATTTTTAATCAAATCTTGCAAAGTTCCACCAGCAACGTACTCCAAAACGATACATATTCCCCGAGGGACTTTCTTCACCCCAAGACACTGCACAATGCGATGGTGGGTAAGGTACGTAAGAAAGTAGAATTCCCGCAAATATTCATCCGATAAGGCAGAAAACCCATGCAAGGCTTCATTATTTTTCTGATAAGAGTTCGAGGAATATATTTGACGTGGCGGCTTCCATGAGGTTCCAGGCGGCCCCTCCACCACTGAAGCTCGAGGACTTGACGGGGAGGAAAAACCGTCGTCTTGAAGTACTTTCAATGCCAACCTCCGACCGGTGCCCACGTCCATGCCGGCATACACCACACTGCTTGCACCGCGCGCAATTGGACAGCCCCATTGTAACTGAAGGGGAAAAGGCGGTGCCTTTACGGATTGCTTGAGAGACTCCCTTTCTTTTCCTGCGCCTGGTCCCTGTTGTGTATTGTTCCGCTCACCAACTTCCAAACCCACGGCGTTGTCTAGCAAGTGGTAGGATTGAAAACAAAATTTCTCAACGTAAATTGTATTTGGAAACCACAATTGACAACGTGGTGACATCATCCACGGCAACCAAAGAAAAGGAGTCG